TTTTTAATAATACCCACGTCTTTTCTCGTTGTCATATTAACTTTTCTTATAAAGTTAGGGTAATAACAAAAATTTAAAAAAAAAAATAGGGCCAACTTTGTAAGTCGAAGACTTAACATACGTATGTTTTCTTTTTGAATTTATTTCACATTAGCTTTTTCTTATATAATTAGGTAAAAGAAAATTGAAAATAATAGAGTAAACTATGTTAGGCAAAAATTTAACACATATCTAAATTTCTTTTGAATTTATTCACACTAACTTTTTCATAGTTAATGAAAAAAATTTGAGTAACTTTTTCTTACATGAAAAAAAAAAAAAAAAAAAATTGTAAGAATTCTTATATAGTTACTGAAAAAATTTGCAATAATGTTGTTAATAATAATGTAAATTTTTTTATAAGTTTTGAAATTTTTCTGTTTTCGGATGTTCGAATACTTTTTTAAGCGACTGTACTCCGGCCGTTTGTTTTATATCTGTTTTATGTGGCTGATCTGCCCACTATGAATATGAATTATAATTATTTTATCGGATGCTACGCAGACGATACAGCGATCGCTGTCAAGTCTGCATGCCCAAATCTTCCTATCGCAAAACCTCAAAAGATCATGCCTCAATTTGAGCAGTGCTTTAAGTGCAGAATTGTTATAAATGCTATTAAGTCTAATCTCCTAATTATTAGAAAAAAGCGCTCACAGACGCCAGTTACCACTCAGCTCAAATTATTCGATAAAAAAATGCGGATTGTAGACAAGGCCGTTTATCTTGGAGTTAAATACACGTTAATCTTGGCCGTTTATCTTGGAGTTAAATAAACATCGGAAAATAATACGGTTAAAGAATGCCGAACACGGTAAAATAGTAATAAAATTTACACGGTAAAATAGTGCCGATTGTAGACAAGGCCGTTTATCTTGGAGTTAAATACACGTTTAGCTTGGCTGTTTATCTTGGAGTTAAATACACATCGAATTTTAAATGGAAAGAGCATATAAACTGTGTTAGGTGAAAAGGATCAGACTGACACAAAGTATCACGCCTCTACTTACTTCTGATTCTAAACTTAATTTCGGAGGAAGCGGCATATCTACATCGCCATCATCAGACCTCTTTCTGACTATGCGTCGCCCACCTGGGCTTCAGCCAGTAGTAGAGATCTGCATAAACGTCAAATTACACAAAATAAGCTACTTAGGATGATGACGCGTGTACATTACTCTGTTTCTAACAACACCTTCCATAGTGATCTTCAGACTGAGACCGTTGACAAGTTTCTGCATAGAATAAACACCAATTTCTTTAAGAAAGCCCTAGATTGCACTCACTTTAGCCAGCTAAATGTCTTCAACTACGAGGTACTTGAAGGGAACTCTGATATTAGACCCTTGCGGCACACCTCACGCGTCACTGAAATTTCCCTACCTAATTTCAATATTAATCATGTATTTATCGTTTGAGATTTATGATTTCATGATTTTATTATTTTCTCATTTATACATTTTACTGCTTCTGTCAATTTATATAGATCTCTGGTATTTTGTATCCTATATTTGTATTTTAACTATGTCAATTATTTTCCATATTTAATTTTGTTTTATGTGTCATGATTTGTCTCTGCCATTTTCGCACAACACAAACATGCACCTTCAGTTTTCCTCTCTGCTTCGTTTGGTTGCTCTTCTTTATATTCTTGCCTTCTTAGAATTGTGACTCCTTGTTGTTCCCTTATACCCATCTTAAACCTCCACTTCTCTACGTCCGGCGTCTCCTAAAGTCATGTGCCATCTGGGCTTTGTTTCATGAGCCGGACACGTCGCGCCTTGCGCGATATTATGGCCATACTGGGGCGGATGCGGGCGCACTAATTTTGTGAGTCTCTATCATAAAAAAGGCACTAGAGCTTATCCCACTCCACGGCAAAGAAGTTCGCCCCCGGATTCCATGCAGCAATGCCGCTTATGAAGTTTGTTGACGAATAGGATTAATTTAATTCCCTACTGAAGTACAAGCTGATCTCCCATTTTGCACTTACGAACTTTGTTTTTATAAACTTACATGCTTATCATATTTAGTTTCAATCAAGATGTTTCTCTCGGGGTCAGTACGTGGGAGGGTAACCTCCCAGGTGACTGGCTGGCTGACTGACTGACTGACTGTTGCGATATTGCCAGAGTACTGCCCAAAGTGCAGTTTTTCCGACTCGATAATATACTGCCATAAGACGCATCACGTACACCTATCTGGACATGGTAACTCCGAAGGGAGAAAAGCAGGTAGGATTATAAGGTATTTCTTCCACTTTCCTAGCGAGCCTTCGTGGTGTAGTGGTTCTGCACACTGAGCCGGTATTTCAGAGGTCCGTGGTTCGATTCCCGGCGAAGGCGGTTGCATATTTTTCATCTCTATGGCTTCCAAAAAAAAAAATCCTAATGTCTCTACAAGTGGCGCCCGAACTAAAAAAGGGTTGTGGATGATGATTCTCCGCACCCAGGATTTGGCGACTAGGTTCCCTAAAACCCTAGTCGCCCTCTAAAAAGGGGAGTATATAAGGTATTTCTTCCACTTTCCTAGCGAGCCTTCGTGGTGTAGTGGTTCTGCACACTGAGCCGGTATTTCAGAGGTCCGTGGTTCGATTCCCGGCGAAGGCGGTTGCATATTTTTCATCTCTATGGCTTCCAAAAGAAAAAATCCTAATGTCTCTACAGGATAAGGAGGGCCGACACACTGCGCGGTCAGAAACCAAAGTTGATCATGGATAGCAAGGTAGGTAAAATAGAATCCTAATGAGTGCGCAAAGATAAAAACATAATTCAGGAAATATACAAAAAAAAATTTAAATAATTAACAGATACTCATAATGAAAATGCAAATAAGTCCTATGTACAGCTATTTACAAGTTTGGAAATGATACGGTATCACACGTCGTGTTAAGTAAGGAAAGTTGGAGTCTTTCGTGAGGTGGGCCGCAAGTGGTCGAATGTCGCAGTCTTCATTTAAGATGACAAAATTAAGAGTATTTAATTCCTGTAGGTGACAGCAGTTGAACGCTTTCATATAGAAATTCCTATTTAAAATTTATGTAAATGCACCTCAGTTGGGTCTACTTTTAAGTCTCTGTGCAGAGAGTCATTTCTAACGAAATAGCGGGCATGCGTAATAGTCCGAAAAACCGTATTTTGAATTACCTGGAGTCTATGTAGATCTTTCTTCTTGGTCGGGATCCATGCTGGGGATGTGTAGGAAATTATTGGCCTAATATTCATAATATAAATAAGGCATTTTCTTCGTAAGCCCAAGTTAGAATATTTGCTTAAGAGTGGTTTAAGGCCTTTAATCACACCATATGCTTTTTAACGCACATTTGTGACATGATCATTCCAATCTAGTGTATTATTTATCACAACGCCCAAATACTTGGTCTTATTGATCTGTGGGACTTGCTCATTGAACAGATGAAGCTTTCTTTTAAGAGGTGTTTTAGTATGCTTTCTTCTGGTAGTTAATAATTGAGATTTCTGGGCGTTAATAGAAATCCTCCATCTGGTGCACCAAGCTTCTATCTCCGGCATAATTTTTTGAAGCTTTCTTATGGCGGGATTTGCTTTTGCGGACTTTACAGCTAATGCTGTGTCGTCAGCGTAGCATCCTAAGACATTATTCCTGTCTAGGTGGTTCCCTAGGGAAGTCAGCTACATAGAGTAGGTAAAGTACGGGTCCAATAACAGATACAATAAGTACGGGTCCCTGGGGGGACCCTAGCGTTGATCTCCTTTGTGTTAGACAAATCTTTACCTATAGACACTGTAAATTTTCTCCTAGTGATGTACGAAACGATGAGCTCTCTGTCAATATTGAAGTTAATTAATTTGTAGATGAGACCCTCATGCCAGACGCTTGACTGTCTCCGATAAATCGTATTCTTCATTTCAGCATAACAGGCTTTCAATTAAAATCAGCCTCTAAGTCAGTACTCGTGTACTTCACTATTTCGCTTATTAGAAAAGCGGAAGCGCTTGTGTTAACTTAAAAACCAAAGTCAACGCCTCATGGGTAAACTCCTGAGATAAACGGTAAAAGCCGAATTGCCGTTATTCACCATCAAGATCCAAGATCTAACCTTATCCCATTTAATTTTCCAGGGCATTCTGAATAGAATTAGCGAGAACTCTGAAAATAAACTTTGCACGGAGTGTATTTCTTGAATCTAGTTTTGGAATTCCAGATGTCGATTTATAATTTTTCATAGAGAGTAATTGAAGTTCATACACAGGAAATTTCATAGAATATATGGTCATATATGATACCGACTGTTTGTTGTCAGCAAATCCATCCATCATCTTGTGAGTTCTATATTTATTCTTCAGTTTGGGCGTAATGAAGGAAGTCTGCTACTGTGAGAAACAAAAACAAAAAAAAAAAAAAAAAAAAAAAAAAAAGAGTTCAACACAGTCTTCGCCAAGGTCCAGATTCCGGCAAAAGTAATAGCATTTTTTATGGTATTTCCCTTATGTGTGTAACGTGAATGCGAGCAGGTTTTCCTTGAAAATTTCTCAAGCATTTCTCACTTAGACAGACATACCATCGCGTGCTCTGCTGTAAGCTGCATAATATATTTAACAAAGACTGTGCGAGGAGAACACTTGCATCTTTTGTGAATTTTAGGTGTCTTTATTATGCTAAAGTTTTTGAATTTTGTCACCCTTTGATTGGCTCTGGAACTTAAAATCATCTTTTGTAAAATTAGAACTTTGTGATTGCCGATCTAACCTTCTTGTTGCCGATGGGCATATTTTTTATCCATGCTATTTCACACCTTCACTGCAATTTTTTCGCTTCTTAATTCTTTATATTTTTAAATTTTCAGGATCGGTTAGTTATTGATCTTACATATTTATAGTTTGAATATTTAATTAGTAAATTAAATTTGATGAAGAATTTTTATAATATTAAATAGAAATTATTGCTGATATTAACCTTTAATTCTTGAAAACTTGATTTGAGCGGAAACGGAAACCATTCTCAGCGGCAAACTTCGTAAGCTGTCAGATGAAGTTTTATCGCAAATGAGCGTGTAAATTGGTTTTAAATTTTGTATACATATATCTATTTAAACATTCGCTCCTTGCTTGAATGTGTTGTTACTAAATTTAGACTAGAATGTTTGAAACTTATAAAATTGCAGAGCAAATTCGAAAATTTGATGCCTATCCAAAAACTCTTGAAGATTTTCGAGTTAAAACCTTTTCAGGAGCCGCCAGTATGTATAGTTTATTTATATATACAGGAAGTTTACCTCATGTCCTACTTTTCCGAATTATGTTTTTGTCCGTGAACTTTCCCTTGAGTTTTATTTTAAATTATTACTAAATTCTCAATTTCTGTGCCAAACTTCATTTCAGTAGATTTTCATACTGACCGGAAGCATTCTGAGGGCGTAAATATATATGTAAATGTGAGCTTCATGCATAATGCTGCAAATTTCATGCTTTAGCATTATATAGTTTATTTGTTTAAAAAAAAACTGAAACATAAAAGGCGTTCAGAATTCTGTAGCTCTCTTCTCTCGTTTGCAGTTTCTGGAGCGGAGCAATACTAGCGAAAGGATCGAAGCTCCCTGTTTAGTACTCAGTAATTTATTATTTTGTTTGATAATCGAGAATTTTGTATACCATTTTTAAATTGAATAAAGGCACTATTGAATATATTTTATTGGTGGCTGAAATTGTGTAGCTTGAATATTATTTGCAATTTAATTTTAGCAGCAATAATGCAGTAACAAATTGTTGGAAATCTTGATGAAATTCATGACGCTGAATAGTCTTGTTATTTGTTTCTGTTTTGCCAACTTTGATGGCACATCAATATTTATGTGTTGAATATTCTACCCTACCTTTTTTACCCGGCTTAGTAATACACCCTGCTCTACTAAGTACAGCATAAAAATGGGATGTGCAAGTTGTAAGCAGTGAAACCTTCAGTTATGCTTCTGAAAAGAAAATTGCAATCATTTTTCAGAAAAGGAGAAAAGTGATGTCTTTATTTTCATTAAAATCCATTGGAGATCATGTTGCTGAAAACTGCAACTTTTTTCAGTTATTTGTAATTATAATCTGTATCAGGTATTGGCAACCTTGTAAGCTGTGGTGTGTCAAACCAATCTACCAGTATGATTCAGTGTGCGGCACAATAAGAAATACTTGAAACCATTCGGTTTCCACAGCAGTGCTTGCAGGCACAAACTTAGGGTTTTATTATATATTATATAAAGTTATTTATTAACATAAAAATAAACAACATAAAATATAACTATTCCTTCAACATAAAAAGTTAAAACTGTGCATACGTTATGTATCATTTAAATATATTTATTAAAATAAAAAAAATTAAGTATTCCTTCAATATAGTTAAAAAATTAAAACCTCCTTCCTGTACTGCTCTAAATATCACAATATCAGGGGTATAATTTGTTACTTTCAGTTTGATACAGAATTCTGAATATTCAGTTGTTAAACAATTTCTTTGTGGACTCTAAATATTTTTCATATGGGAGAAGATTTGTTTGCACAGATATGCGGGACCAAAAGTGGATAGCAGAGCATATGCAATTTTCTTCAAACAATTAAATCTTTCCAGCACCGACATCCAGCAATTTTAAAACAGCTGTCAATTTATTGTTAAAATTGTCTTCCAGATTTTTCTGTAATTTCATAAATTTTGCTTTCTTCTAATTCTGATGATGTTTGTTCAATAAGTTGTAATTCAAAGTTATCAACTTCCATCCACTCAAAAATTGAAAAACTGGATGGGATTATTAATGGATCTATTAAATCTAGTTTGATTAGGAAGGAATATATAGGCATACACACTTCAAAGTCTTTACATCTTTTGGAAAATTCGTTCTTTGTAACTTGTGTAGTGCTTCAAATAGATTAAAGTTCATCTTTGTCTGATAACTTTTTAGAGTGTTGTAGAGTGCCACTGAAAATTATTCTGCATGCCAAAGTTGCAAACTCCTGATCTATACATTTATTCCAGCATTTGTGCTTTATTCTTAGATTTGTTTCTATACAATATTTCTCTACTGCAAAATACCTTGTATGTGAACAAAATATGCATTTGTATAATTTTTTAATTCTTAATTTTTTTATTATTTTTAGGGGTATACTTTCTTATCACAATGAATTTAGACATTATTTGATTTTATTTTTTCTTAATTGCATTAAAAGATTATTATGCTAAAATGAAGACTAAGATGGGTAAAATCCTAGTATACGGTGCAGCCTTGGCGCGACTTTGAAAATTATCGCCAACACCAAAAATGATCCAAAGAACGTCTATATATATATATACTACACACTATATACTATGTGTGTATATACATAGTATATACTATGTTTAACTATATATTTTCTTTGAATGACCCGTTAACTACTCATCGTATATGTCCCGTTTTTACTGCTCATCATAAAATCGCCAAAAGTAGCCGAATCCCGTGTGCACCGGATACTAGGATTAAACCCTAAGATGAATTCTTAATCATAATTTCATTTGAAGCAGCCCATATAAAATTTTATTTAAAATACGAATGAAAAAGTACATTTTTGGGGGCTCAGAATTATTACTTTTATTATTTTAAAGTTTTGTAATCTGTATTTCATTGTAAGAATATGTGTCTATAATTTATGTATGTTTCTTGATAAATCTTTTTTCCCATTCTAGTTACAATTGTGAGTGCAGTCGTCATTGTGCTGCTGTTCATATCTGAACTTAATTATTATCTTACACCTGAAGTTACAGAAGAGTTATTTGTTGATGTTTCACGTAGTGAGAAACTGAGAATCAACATTGATGTTACATTTCCTAAACTCTGTTGTGAATGTATGCTCTTCGTTATTCTAATTGATATAATATAGAAATTATAATTTTAGTATAGTATATTTATACACATAATATAGGGTTATATTTTTTAATGTATCTGTACTTATAATCTAAAAACGATTTTCAAAATGTATATATACAGCTCTAGCATTAGTTGATTAAATACTTCAGAATTTGATATATTAGAATAGCTTTCAATTATTTGATTAAATGATTAAATAGTAACAAAAACAAGCATTATATGAGAAGAACCTAAAATCTACATATTCATTATTTGCACATTTACAGATGGTGAATACTGTCCAGCAAAATGATGGCTAAATGTAAAACTCGTAAATCTTTGTATACATAAATATGTATATGTTATGCATGTGTATGAATTAACTGTTGTCACATGCATCCTCAAAAATGGACGAGAAACATGACATTGCTGGATGTTGAAACTGGGATTTCAGATAATAAGCAAACACAAAAACAGTTTTAGGACAAAGAACTGCACAATTTCATTTTTTTCTGTTTTAATACAATGATGAATTTTCATATGTTCAGAATAATCTGGTACAGTCAAAAGTCGTTAATTCGGACACTCATATTCCAGAATGATCTATAATCCGGACCTCAAAGCTACAAACTTTGTGCGCCTGCGTCGCGCTGACACATGCGCATAAGCGTTTACGCATGCGCGTAAGACCTTTACGGCTGCGAATATGTGTGTGCGCATGCGCATAATACATTTATACATGCGTGTTTAATGTATAACGGACGATATAGGCTAAGCTAAAATTATCTAATTCAGTTGATGTTGCAGATTGCGTTGTTCATTAATCTTCGAATTGGATCCGGCTTATTATTTTTTGCAGACTGTTAGAGCAATTTTATAAAAGTAAGCTTGAACTTTCAATTATGTCAAATAGAATTTCCGATATATATTTACTAATATGTAAAAGGATCTACAAAGCAAAAGTATGTTTCAAAATCCGAAATCTGTTTATCAATTTCACGCTGCTCTGTGGCGGGGCGCACAATGAATTGGAAGTAGATCTGTCAGCACTATCCTTATCTTCACGGCAGATGCTTTTATTTTATTGGGCGTATAATTCCTTACTAAATGTAGTATTTCATCTCGATGTACTCCGTCTTTGATATGATTTAAATCAAGTTCCTCGTCATTATAATTTGCTTCGGATAGTGAAGAAAGTGACAAAGAGGTTATTGAAAACGAAAAAGTTTCGATTGACAAATTAGTCGGTATTCTCGACACAGCAATTATAGGACTTGAACAGCGGAACTTTGTAACTAAACAAGAAATTATGTCTGTTTAATAGAATTAAAGAGAAAGTATTATCACATGAAACGAAGCATCTTAAACAACTTACATTGAAAGAAATGTTTAATAAAGTACAAATAAATATTAAGCTTTTTCTTTTTGTAAATTTTGATACTCTTTAGATCATAATTGTTCTTTATTTCATAAATTACGGTTTCATATTTTTAATTTTGTAATTTCTGTATGCCATCTTACCAGATTTAAACTGATGATCTATAATCCGGAAAAATCGATAATCCGGAATCGCCGAAATCCCGATGAGTCTGGATTAATGACTTTTGACTGTATTAAATAATTGTATAGCTATTTTATAGGGAGGATATACTTACAGCCTACTTCTGAAGAGTAGATAGATTTGATTTATTTTGCATAACCATACATCTAAATAAGCTTATTGGTATTCATTTATGGTTGGGTTAAAAAGAGTTTGATTTCATAAATATAGAGGTTTATTATTAAATGTCAAAATAGGCTTAGAATTGGAGAGCTGAAAGTTTTAGTTGTAATTTAAATATACATTTATATGCATTTAGAATAACTGGTAAAAGTATATTTACAGGTACCCATTGGCGAAAATTAGCGGTACATGGATACTGAGTTTGTGCAATTCCTTGACTTGTTAGTTTTGCTTGCTAGCGGCGATTTTTGCCTCAAAAATCGCCGTTACTCAAAGCCAAAATAACAAGACAAAGAATTGCACAAACTCGGTATCCATGTACACATCAACCTATTTTCACTTAAAAAAAAAAAAATCCTAGAATTGCACAAACTTGGCATTGTGCACTCCCTTGACTTTACCCATGTACACACTGACCTGTTTTCACCTTAAAATACATCGGAAAATTGCACAAACTAGGCATTGCACACTCCCTTGACTTCCATTTCCTTGAAGTTCCATTTCCTTTTATTGCCTTCTATTGCTACTATATGTTCCATCCTAGTTATTGGGTGCATGATTCTGGGAAATTTTGAATCATGGGATGTTTTGTGAGCGTTTTTGTGGTGTGTGTTAAAATCGTTTAGATGGATTTGAATGGGTTTGTAGGAAGAAAGGTTCAGATGGTCACTATGTGAAGCGTTCGATCAGAAAGAGTACCTGGTTTGAAAAAAGTCATTTGAGTATGATTGATATTTTGATTTTTACGTGCCTCTGGGTGTACGAAGCGAATTCGTAAATCATGGTAAGTGAATATTTGCTTTTGGTAGTGCCTAAATGTATAACATGTTTTTCCTTTTTTATGTTATTTATTGTTTGA